TAATAAATATTTACCAAAATTCTAATTGGACAGATTTCTCGTAGACATACTTTCCCTAGAGTCATTACCATCTTGAATTGGGGACTGGATAAGACTCATTTCTTCCACATAGTGCAATTTTCCAGAAACAGCAATGAGCTCCATATGAGCAAGAAAACTAGATATATGTCTGAGGTCAAGAATGCCTTATTCCCAGGTATATCACTACCAATACATGCAGACCATATGGAAAACCATGGCCTTCGATTCAAATACTGGTGACCCATACCATAGACCCAAAAGCCATATAACCATATGTATGTATGTATGTGGGTTTGTACATACACAAACACACATATACATACATACATACATATGTATATCAGTTGCCATAGGCTCACCAAACGGTGTGAGTTACCTGGAGAAACCAGCTAACATTAGTTGGGCATTTGAGATAAGTGCTTAATATTATACATATTTTATATCATATACAAATCAGCAATAAATGGGCAGGGTAAGATGATGTTCTATGTGGCAGATGGACTGGTTGGTTTCCATGGAAATGCCTTTTCCTAGCTGCTCTTCACAACAAATTTGTCTACTTGTTTAGGTTTCCTGAGTTATTCCTCAGAGAGCAGTGGGTAAAAGTCATGCTTTAGAGCAAGGCAGAGAGAGCAAGCGCAGCATACCATTCTGGATCTGCTTGGTTTTGATGCTATAGATGACAGGGTTCATAAAAGGGGGGAAAAGGAAATAGACATAGCTCATCATGATATGGACCACATGAGGAGCATGCTTTCCAAATCTATGAATAAATGTCAGACCTACTACAGTGACATAGAAGACCAGGATGCAGCAGATATGGGAGACACATGTGTTGAGGGCCTTGGCCTTTTCTTCTCCAGAAGCAATGCCCATGACAGTCTTGAGAATCAAAATGTAGGAAAAAAAGATTATGAGAAAGTCCAACAGTACCATTGCAAATACAACCACAACTGGATAGAGACGATTAAAGGTGATGTCGGCACAGGCTAGCTTGATGACATCTTGATGGAGACAGAAAGCATGGGAGAGCACATGGGATCGACAATAGGGAAACCAGTGCAGGCAAATAATTATTGGCATAATTGACAGACTGGCTCTTGTCAATACCCCTACCCCAATCTTTATTACCTGGGTGCCGGTAAGGATGGAGGTATATCTTAAGGGATTGCGGATGGCAATAAAACGGTCATAGGCCATGGCAAGCAAGACACCTGACTCCACCATAGAAAGAGTATGGATAAAATAAGCCTGAGAAAAGCAGGCCCTGCGGCCAATCTCCCTGTGATTTAACCACAGAACACCCAGCACGGTGGGCATTGTAATCAATGTTACTCCAAGGTCTGTAGCGGCCAACATAGCTAAGAAATAGTACATGGGCTCATGGAGGTTATGGTCATCCCTGATGAGAAAGAGAAGAGTACCATTGCCAAAAAGTATGGAGATATAGGCCACCAATAACGGGATGGAGATCCAGTGATGTGCCTTCTCCATGCCTGGGAAGCCAGTAAGCAGGAAATAGGGAGCAGTAGTGTTAAGCCACATTACTAGCTTTGCCAGGAGGAAAATATTCCCTTCAGTTAATATAAAACAGAAGCTAATTTTTTGGAAGTTTCCCCTTGAGAATGCTACCTGTTCAGAAGATGTCCACCAGTCCTGACTTCCAGCAATAGCAAGGACGATAATTTAGTCATTCTTGGGAGATTCTTAGCTGTAAGAGAATAGCATATATAAATACCAACTCTACATATTATTCAGGGTTTACTATATGCAAATTTATTAAAGAATACACTGGGGATACAGCAATGTATGCAGAATAGACCTTGTTGGTGTTCCTGTAAATCATATAACCCAGAAAATAAAGACAAAATAAAAGAAAAAATCGCTATATTTGAATAGTGCTATAATGGCTTAGAACTTACAGGGTGTTTTTCTTGGCACTCTTCACTTTGACTGGTGGTATTGAGGGTGGATGTGAAGGTTTCCCAGAGTATGAAAGACCTAAAAGATCAGTAGAAAAATTGTTCTAAGCATTTTTGTTTGACGAGCCAGTATGAACATCCTATGCAAAACAAAGAAATAAATAATATATAAAAATGAATAAATAAATTACACTTTAGTTAATTTGAGGGATTGACTTATATTCAGTATGTCTGGAGGGAAAATTCAATTGATGAAACTCTAGAGACTTTTGAACACAAAATGACATAAATAGAACTTATATGTGTCCAAAGCACATAAACCTCTGTTACCTAGCATCATAACCCTGGTTATTGATGCACTCTTCAAAACATTCAGAATTTCATAATATAGATAAAAATTAGTAATAAAAGGTAGATTTTATGATAAGCATTTGAGGACACTATTTGATAACAGTACCAGACAAACTACTATTGCATATCACCCATTTAGAGATGCAAAGATAAAAAATAGATTGTTATTTAGGTAAGCTCAAAGAGAATTTTTTTATAAAAGCTATGGAGTCTGATGAGATTTAACAAATGTAGGAAGGCTCTGTGACTCATTAGAATTCTAAGGTATCATCTGGTGCAGACAGCCAACCTCTGAAAATAAATCGTGTGTTGGTGGTTCAGCCAGAGGAAATAGGGCCACCTTCTGTGATGGTTGTTGTTACAGATAAGGGCCTCCTTGCTCTCTGGCCGGCAGTATACATCAGGATTGTTCACTCTGAGATGTGTCAAATGATCCAATTTTCTTAGGAAGCCTGGAGAACAAATATAAGATGATGATGAGTTTCTGAGGGGTCTGTCTTTTATTGTAAATGAAAATGTTATACTAGAGTTTCTCTGAACAGCAGATAAAAGGTGACATGTGGGGGTGGCAAAGGGGAAGGAGGAAAGAATAATGAATCATTGTGGGAACTTATGACATAGCCTAAGAAGATGTTGAGCCTAAAGCATTGGGACTGGGGGAGGTTGGGAGAAAAGCAATTCCATCTTCAAAAAGTTAGAAAAGGAGCGATAGCTAAATCCTGCCTGTTAGTGAAAGTTTAAGAAAATACTCAACTTACATAGAGTTAAAAAAGCAGGAGTAGCAAATAAAAATGTTACATATTTGACGTAGACAGTGTGATGTTTTGACATAAGTATACATTGTGAAATGATTACCACAATCAATCTAATTAATATATCCACCACCTCACATGATTTCTTTTTAATTTTTTTGTAGTGAGAATACTTAAGACCTACTCTTTTATCAAATTTGAAATATACCTCAATAAAGCTATGGGACAAAATGATAA